AAAGATTTGCTTTTGTGTCTTTTTTGTTGGGAACAATTTAATTTTCCTTGAAACCTTAAGACAGCCCATTAAGCCAGATTTTTATGTAATCCGCAGCCGAGTGTGTATTTTATATTATCAGGTATTACTAAAACAGCAGGTAATTTCAGGTCACTTACCGTTGTAGTAGGAAAATTACGGCGTAAAATCAATACTTACAACGAGATGTGAAGGAGAAAATTTGCCCACAAGAACTCAATGCCTTTGAACTATGAAATCCAGAATTACTAGCATATAAATGGGTTATCTTAACCTAGCATGATAAGAAAAATTTTGGGGCAAGATTTTATTAAGAAATGTTGTTCTCTCATCAAGGAAATCGGTTGAAAATTTTACTTACTTTCAGGTACTCTATAAAAAATGGCGGCCTCGATGTTGGTTTCTGCAAACGTGAAAATTTTTAATGGAAGGAATTTCAAAAAAAATGGATTCGAATAGGCTACTACTATAAAAAAGCACCTTTATTTTATTATTCAATGAAAAAATGAACAAAGAACGCAATTAGGGCTGGGAAAAATTTCAATTTACGCAGAATAGTAATTTAAATAAAAATTTATAACTTCAGTTCTGATGTTATTTCTGAGTCTATTGTAAGATAAAGGAAGTATTCTTAAATATAACAACTGAAAAGTATTTTTTATAGTTCTCTTTCAATATGATTCCGGAAAATAGAAGCTCTTGTTCCTCTCTGCAGCTTTTTCAACCTATCAATTTTCAATTCAAATTAAACACCTATGTTTTCTCCTAGCCTAGCAAGTTGGCGCTTTTATAAAAAAAATTAACCAATGATCGAATCGTGAATTAAAAAAAGTTACCACATTTTTAACCAATCCCTTGATGGACGCATTTGGTTCGATGAAAAAGTGAAAGACCGCATACTAACTGAGCCCTAAAAAGTTACAAAAATTAATCCAACCACTCGTCTCTCTTTCAACCTTCAAACTCCCGCCCATTCAATATCCGTTGCGGTCATTTGACACTCAGATTAACACTGACGTTAAAAGGGGTTACTATATAAGATTGAAATTACTATATTGAAATTTGAAATTAACAAAAAATCCGCCTTTTCATAAATTTTCGTAAAGTATGTGGGTTTGAAAAACGTCGGTCTGGCCATATTTAACGCTTATTTTTTTCGTGCTAACAATGCTTAGGCGCGAAAAATCCAAATAGAATAGAGGCAAAGAAATTGGTCTTTTTGATAGACTACTAGTTGTCAAATGCTATTTTTTTAAGTTTTTTTAAAGTTTCAACATTTTGAAGCCAAACTATTTCAAAAGATTTTCAAAGGCAGTAGGAGCATCCAGTGGTTTGATTTAAGTTAGTTGTGATTTGATTTAATTGTTCAACAAGAAAAAGGATACGATGATTTTGAAATTAAAATAATCCTTTATATTTTTGAAGAAAATTTAGGTGAACAAGAAATGGATTTCCTGCTTTTTACTGTCCGTTTCCTCTACATTGAAACCATAAAATAGGGCGATGAATCATTGAAAAGCTCAACACTCACTACTTGATTTTTTTGTGATCAAAAGAAATATAAAACCTTCATGCTGAGTTGATTTCAAGGGAGTAAATATGTCTTTGAGTGTGTATTAGTTATTTTAAAGCTTCTTTACATTTCTTTCAAGACAAAGATAAGTAAAAAAAATAATATTGGGAGTGGATAAAATAAGGTGTCATATTGAAGAACTTTTATTTATCATTCGAAAAAAATTTTTCTCAGTGTCCAGAAAATCCGGTTTGAGTTTTTCAATAGGATTTCAGTTTTATAATACGAAAATTTTTAAGGCGTGACAAACTTTTTTTTAAAATCAATGCCTATTATATTTTAAGATGTATAATGAAGCTGTGATCCTCGATAACAACTGGGGTTCAAGATGGGCGGAATAATTGGGCTCATTCCAAAACACGCTGCCTTAAAGCAATTGCAATATTTTAAAATGTAAACCACCATCCTTGCAATATTCCCAGTAATCAACCATCCTTAACTAAAAAAACCACGAAGTAAAAAAAAATAACTGTGACCTCGTGTGTAGTTTTTTTGATGCAGAATGACATGATATGAAGTTCGCTACTTATATTGAAACCCTTTCAATCTTGGCTTTTAATTCCTTATAGACAGTTTCTCGGTGTCGTATAAATTTTAGTTTTCAGATTTTCAACGAGTGAAAGCTTGGCGTTTGGCAAGTAAACAGAAGTAAAGTTAAAAAGTTAAAAATAATTGTTTTAAAATGATTGAATTTATTTAATTTTAATTAGTTTTTCTTTGTTACAAACTATACCCTGCAAAGAACCCTCAATTTTTCAATTTCCATAGGCAGTTGTTTTCGAAAATTTCAAATTTTTGACCTTTTCGACTCATGTTATGAATTTGATCTTCGACCCGCTGTTTCGACTGAATCGAAATTTTTTTCTCTTTTCGATCGTTTCAAAATTTTAAATTCGACGACTTGTTAAGTCGAAATTTAAGTCAAGTATTACATCGGTGTTATTTGTCTTGAAGTAACTTTTCAGGTTCTGGAATGTTTTCAAGTCGTGAAGTAATGAACACCAACTAACCAGCTAATAAAAATTCATTGAGTGTGTGATGATACCATAACAATATGATACCAGATGATTATTTAAGCGTGTTAGTTTTTTTTTAAATCGGTTTGACTACACGTATTTAATAAGCAAATTTGTTCACTTACAGCTCAATTGATTTTATAAAGCTATGAACTGTCGGTATTAAACCACACTGTTGTAATTCAAATCAGCAAGACGTTTAAAAGCATTTAGTTTGAGAAAGTTTGTCATGAATTTGGACTGGCCGAATGATGATGAGTCGATGGCTAAAAATGTGAGGTAAAAAACTATGTGTGGTGTTTCTGCTCGTAAATCAATCGAGAGGACTTTTTGACGTCGATCACCGACTCTTGGTGTAAATTAACACACCATTGACGCACTTAAGTTTCAGTTTCTTCTCATGAATCACCCAGTTAATCATTATTTTTTTATTCTACTTGAATTTCATTTTCAAGAAAATGATTTTAAAAAAATCTGGTCGTAATTTAAAATGCATGTCTGGTCGTAATTACAGCCAGTCAATTTTAGCAGTCTTCTCAAAAGAGTGGTAATTTAACAGTATGTGGCGGCTAAAGAAAAAGAAGACTCCCCCCTCCCTCCCCCAAACCTTGATTTTCTAAAAAGCGTCCGAATTTCGACACCCGTTGGATGATGATTTATTTACGACATCTATGTTGTTAGCTAAACGACTGCATCGATAACACGCACCATGAAATACATGACATAATACATGACATAATAAAAATTTCGGTTAGTAAAAGGCTGTATGGCGAATAGGTGGCTCTTCTCCCGAGAATTTTTTTTGAATAGGGGCTTTCAGTACTTCAAAAACAAAGATTCAGGCCTCAATCCGAATCCGGAAAGTTTTTCTAAGATCATGAGCAGAAGTAACTAAAAAAAACAGAATTTCTCGATGTTTAAATCAAATAAAGTGAGTTAGGACCGAGTTGGTTAACTCATAGAGTAATTTCGGATAGGGTACACCGTCTGCTCGTCACGCTATCTTATTTTCGGCCGGATAGATTCGTGCAACTTCTTAGTCTAATACCGATCCTAATCTTACTCTTATACTATCTAGTCTCAGGTTGTTTAACTAGTCTCTGCTAGGCTCAATAGATCTAGGGTATACTGGTCTATTGCGGCTGTTGAAGTGCTCGGGAGAGTCCAACTAATTTCTAAGTTAAATTCAAATCTCTCTGGTGCTGAAATTACAAGTAACTTCAGCACTTACAAATAAGTGGGTTGTTAGTTAGATGGATCATGATTGGTTAATATTAAATACTTTACATTGGTAAAATATCTAAATTATCCAATCATAAAATGTAGTTTAGATCAGGTTCCACCCATCCGGGTTTTACAGAGTTTTTTAGAATAGTTCTTCTGCAATTCGAAGGATGGATGATGGACGTTGGTGTTTGGCGAACATCTTACTTCTTCTGTTTCCTTTTTGTTAAAGAAGTTCCAGGAAGATGGAGTTAGAGACATAAGACGTTGTGTCTTCTAGTGACAACGACTAAGTCTTCGCAACAAACTCAAATCTGATTTCAGAATGGTTGGCTATGTCAGGTTTTTCTGTTCTGCGTGGAGAACTTCTTTTGTGTCTGATCTAGTTTGGGAATGGCGTGGAGATTGTGCGTGGAGGGGATGCCTGGTTACTCGGATCTGTACGTATACTTGAACATCGAGGTGGTCATTGGTCTAGTTCAATGAAGTCCTTTTCTGCGAAGTCAAGTCGTACTCTAAATCCTTTGAGTTGTGATTGTGAGTGGCATATCGATTGTGGTTGGTCATTCTCTCTCGAGTGTAGTGGGGTCGTTTTGTCTTTAGATGTTCGTCCTTGGTGTTGTATTCTGATCTATGTATTGCATAATGTAATTTACATTTTATAAAACATTTATTAGTTTAATATTTTTTAATTATGATTTTAGTTAGTTGTTTTCACAAAAGCTTTTTGTTTTAGTTCGGTTATTTTGAAGAGTTACTCACACTTGAGTAGCTCTTATTAAAAATAGAGGTGTGGTCACAAAGCGTGGATGTAGCACGGTGGGTTAGGCCGGCTATAGAGCATGCTCAGGACGTCCTTCCTGGTGGGTTAGGCCAGGAGTGGGAGTATGATTTCATGCGGTTTTTGTGAGGGGTCCTGTTATGTGACAACGTTTTATGTTGGGTTTGTTGTGGTTTTTCTTATGTCTTGTTGGTTATGTCCTTTTTCCAAAAAGCAAATTGTTCGTGGTATGGGTTTGTCTTTCGACTTTTTTGTGTTTTATTATTTCTTTCTTAGACTTTATAATAGTCTTCAAAAGAATAAATTATCCAGTTTTAAACTGGGTTAATCCGGTTTGGGTACCGTTGGTTTCCTTTTCTTAGTCATGCTGTTATTCTATGATTTGTGGTATTTAATAAGCTGCGTTGGTTAGTTTTGTTTAGTATATGATTCCTTTCCAACCGGGTTAAAGGAAAGTTTGAAACATGTTATTATATGTTAGAGTTGTTGAGTGTGAAAACTTGAAACTGAAATTCATTATTTTAAACAATTCTTCGTGGGCGAGCTGTGCGAGTGTGGATAGAATTTCTGTGCGAATAAATGAGAATATCAAAAGGTTAGTACTGCATTTGCATTTTATTAATTTACTGCATAGAATTTGGAAATTTACTGCTAGTTATGGGGGAATTTTAAGTTACAAATTTTCATCATAATTAGATTTACTGCTTGTGGGGAAAATTTTAGAAATGAATTTATTGCATTGGTATTAAATTTATAAATCTATAAGTGTAAGAGATTAATAGAATTTTTGAAATCTGTTTGATGAAATTTGCGATTTTTATTTGTCTTTTGTGGTTTTTGTAGGTGATCGTCGGATGAAGGCTAAAAATCTAAAGAAAACATGAATAAAGTATGGTGAGTTTTTTAATATTTTAATTAGTTAGTAATATTCATTTAATTCATACTTACCTGTTAGTCGTCGGGGAAAAAACCGTGGGGGAAGATGTCGTGAATTAGTTCTGAAGTTGTTAGTAGTTTAGCTAAGATGCGGATGATATTTTTAGTCTGAAGCAGTGGCCAAAGCAATTGAAGTGCCTTAATAGTGGTTAGTTCTTCAGTGCCAACTGCAAACTCATAAGGTGTGTTTTGGATTAGATTATATAATTTGTGATTGAATTTAGTGTTGTGGATGAATTCTAAAATTGGGATTTCTATAGGTTGTACAAACTCGTGCGGGATAAAGAAGGGTCGGGATTCTTCGGCGTTGAAGGTCTTGGTGATGGGACAGAAGATGTACATTTGGGTTATGGGATCATAATTACGAAGAATACCATGGAGGTTAGTGTCTTTAATACAATATGTGAAATTTAGGAAAAATGGTGAAGTGTATTTGGAATTAATGAATTGAAAACGATGGTGTGGTTGTCTAGAGGATGTGTGTAGGTCAAAGTGATTTTGGATGAAGCGATAATAACTATATGTGTGGGTTTGTTTAGTGCGCAACATAATATCGTGTGAGCAGTGTAAATCTCTTTCGTGTGGTGCAAGGAAATGAAAGGTTAGTGAAAATATTTGGAAGCGTTCTTTAAAACTTTCGTATGCTTGTGTGTCTGTTAGTGCTTCTGAAATAATGTGATCAAACTTTCGGTCGAAGATGTTTAGTGTAAATATATATGGTGTCTTGATGAAAAATTTCTCGGTAATTTGTGGATTAGCGAAGCGATCGTCGTCTAAGAATTGATCTTGGTTAGCTCTGATGATGTTGTGATCATAGTATTCGAGTGTATATTCGTTAGCTCTAGGTGCAGTGTGTGTTTTTAGTGATTTTTTATATCCAACGTAAGTAAATTGTCTAGCGGTTAGTGGTGTAGTGAGTCGATATAGCATGTCCGTATTTCGCTCTATATCGATGTGAGTGTTAGATAAAGGTAAGCAAAGAGGGTTAGTAAAATGATAATATGAGGTCCAAGAGAGAGTGGGCATTAAAACGTATTCATCTACAAAGTTGCGTGTTTCGTTAGTGTCGTGGGGGGTGTTTAAGGTGTATTGTGGGAATGAGGGTAAGGTGATGGCTAAAAATTCTTTTGTGTTAGTATGCTTGGGGTGGTTGATGTATTCACGGGCTGTTCCTGGTTTTGCTGGGAAAGGATGGTTGGGGAACTTTCTTTTAAAAGTGCGGTAAGCTCTATTAGTGTTGAGTGAAGATTCAGTTGATGTGGATGATGGTGCTAATGATTCAGTATAATTTGAAGAGGGTGTAGGGGTAGGGGGGTTGGATGAATTTATTGTGGAGGAGATTTGGTTTATGGTTGGGGTATTAAGGTGGTAGGGTTGTTGTTGAAGGGTAATAAAATTATCTAGCTCTGGGGAGATTCGGGGGGTGTCTGGAGAATGAGATGATTGGTCAGAATGGTATGAGGAGTAGGTTGGGGTAACTTGGGAAGCATAAGAGGGTGTGGGAGTGATTGGGTCAGGGTTATTGGATAATATGGGTTGAAAAGGGGGTTGAGAAAAATTTGAAGAGTTATGAAAATTATTGGATGGGGATGGTTCTGAGTCGGCAAATTCATCGGGGGTTTCAATATTCGGGTTATTGAGTTGTGAGATGGAATATAAAACTGAGATGTGTGAATTAGTGTCGGAATTCATGCCTGATGTTACATTACTAGATGGAAAATCGGGTGGCGGAAAAGCAAAAAGTGGTATTATTGGGATTGGAGAGGTAAGATTGGTTGGGTGGGAATTTGATCGGTGTAGTGATCCAAGTTGGCGGCTCATCGTGGGCTAAAAAAATGATTATTTTGAGACTGAAAAGCGGTGGTATGGGGTTGTTCAATAATTTGTTCATAAGTATTATCATCTTGTGACTGGTGTGTCATTATATGTTGAATGGGACTTTGTGATGTGGTGAGTCGAAAATTTGGATTATGTGTGATGGCTAAATTTCGAAAATTTCGTGGGACTAGGGATAGTGGATGGTTATTTGGTAGGGGTGGTAATTGTGGTGCCGTTGGCGTTATGTCTACATTTTTATGTTCTTCGTCGTATGTATTTTGTCGTGTTGCTATTTTTGTGTTATATTCCTTTATTTGTGCGTCTAAAAGAATTTTGTTTATAGATGTAGAAAAGATTCCAAAAAATCCTGCAAAGAGTATGCGTGCTACACTTGCTTGTCGATTGACTTGTGTGTGTAAAGCACATGTGTTGTAGATTCCTTTTAAAAGTGAGAAAAGAAATCCAATAAAGTTAAACATTGCGTATAAAATAGTCAATTTTTCTAAGATGTAGTAGGGCCATCCTAGAAAATCGAGGATCTCATTTTTGAGTGTAACAAAGCTAAAAATGTTAATTGGTGATATATCTTGGGGACGGTATTTTTCACCGTTTAGATATATATAATCTTTAATGTCTTTAAAATATCCGCTATAGTCTTGCGTGTAGATATCGGCAAATCCTGCGGTTTCTGCAAGTTTGCGTAAATTTTGGTCTATTGATTGTCTTTGTATAGTGTCCATTTGTGTTAATAATTCTTGGAATTGTTGTGTTCTAATGTGATGTTGAATATCTGATTTTGAATAGATTCCTATTGATTGCAAGTCTATATTTGGGTTTCGAGCAATAGCGCGAATGCTTTCTGGTGAAAATTTTTTGAGTGATTGCATTAATGTGGGATATGGAGTGAGAAGATAATATTTATTTTCATCAGGGTTTAGTTGTACTACATTGTGGCTGTTTTCTGATCCACATGGGACTGCGGTATCCCAGAAATAGGTTCTTCGTGAAAGTGTATCCACGAAATGTACTTTATTCTTATAAAAGATAGGGATTCTTTTATAACATCGTTTATCTTCAAAAACGTATAGTGGTGATATTTTTTTAGTACAAGTATAAAACCATAAGATGTTTCCTTCATAGTCTAAAAAATTTGATCTATTTCCAGATAATAAGTATCCTGCATAGGGTATTTTTAATACTGCTAGTGCAAGTGATTGTAATATTTGTGTTCGTTCTAATTCGCATAGTTGGTGTAGTGTTTCTAATTCGGAGAGTGACATTTCTTGAAAAATTCGGCTAATTGTATAATCTAGTTTCATATCTAAATGAATATCATAGTGGATATTACCGAAATATGTAGTATTCATTAGTGATAATTCTTGTAAGCGTGTGCTTCTGGTGTCATGGGGTTTTAGATGTCCACCAGGTTGTCCGTTGCTTTTTTCAAAATTAACTGGTATATAGGATGTTCCTTCGTTTAGAGGATGACCTGTGGCATATGGGTCGATTTTTACTTTTCCAGTGGTCATGTCGAATCCTTTTTCGTATTCAACTAATATCTCGGAGTATTGTGTTTTGTGAAGTGGGTTTCTGTATTTACATGCAAGTTCTGTTTCTTGATATATTTGAAAACGTGTCAATTTATTTTCTATATTGTCTATGTTTCTAAAATTAGAACTTAGTTTTCGTGATGGATGGACTTGTTCATATGGAATTGATTGTATAAAATATTTTTCGTGAAATTTTATCATACGAGCGTGTATTTTTGCTACTTGAAATGTTGTACATGTATCTTCGGGGAACCAAACAATTGTTGCTTGTGTTCTCGTTGTAGGGTCGCAATAACCTTGATCATTTTTACAAGGTAATCGGATTCCTTGATAGATCATTGTATTATCTGATAAATCTCGTGTTAGTTGTATTTTTTCGAGTTGTATTTTCCAATCGAAAAACATTATTTCTTGGTATCCTTTATTTTTTGTGTCTGCTTTGCAGTTTGATGGGTCATTTATACCAATGTGTGGTATCCAATGTTTATCGTGTAGGTCATAGGTTAATCGTCCGTGTGCGCCGTTATACGGGTATTTTTCGTCTAGTTTTATATGTCCTTGGTGTCTTTCAAGTTGTGATTGATGTACAGAGTCTGGAAAAACTTGAAAATTAACTAACTTTCTTTGGGAGTTTTTATTTTGTGTGATGTTTAGTCTAAGTAATTCATTTTTACAATCGTCGGGATTGAGATGTAAAAGACGTTCTATATTACTTTGATAGAATGATTCATGGTCAAGTCGGTTTTTGTTTCCGTTCGAGACTTGTGAACAATGTACTTTCTTTTCGGAAAATGTTGCTGTGAATTTATAACCTGTAACTGTTGTTGCTCGGGCTTTTGAATAGAGTGTTGCTATTACATCTGTGGTTTCTATAGCTTGTGGTTCTGTTTCACATTGTGATACTTGATTTATTGCATATTTATGTAGTGTTTTTTGTTCATTTTCTTCACAATCGTAATGTGTTACTAATAAATCTTGTGGTCCTGTACGAGGAGAAGGGTTTATGTTTTGATTTGAGATTACTAGAAAAAGGAGTTGGAGAAAAATTAATAATTTTAGAATATACATGTGTATGATAATCCTGAGTATGGATTA